AGGGAGGAAGGAGGGAGGGAAGGAAGGAAGGAAAGAAGGGAGGGAGGAAGGAGGGAGGGAGGGAAGAAAGGAAGGAAGGAAGGAAAGAAGGAAGAAAAGGAAGGAAAGAAGGAAGGAAGGAAGAAAGGGAGGGAGGGAGGAGGGAAGGAAGGAAGGAAGAAAGGGAGGGAGGAAGGAGGGAAGGAAGGAAGGAAAGAAGGGAGGGAGGAAGGGAGGAGGGAGGGAAGGAAGGAAGGGAGGAAGGAAAGAAGGAAGGAAAGGAAGGAAGGGAAGGAAGGAAGGAAAGAAGGAAGGAAAGAAGGAAAGGAAGGAAAGGAAGGAAAGGAAAGGAAGGAAAGAAGGAAGGAAAGGAAAGGAAGGAAGGAAAGGAAGGAAGGAAAGGAAAGGAAGGAAAGAAGGAAGGGAAGGGAAGGAAAGAAGGAAGGAAAGAAGGAAAGGAAGAAAAGAAGAAAGGAAGGAAGGAAGGAAGGAAAGAAGAAAGGGAGGAAGGAAGGAAGGAAGGAAGGAAGGAAGGAAGGAAGGAAGGAAGGAAGGAAGGAAGGAAGTCACCAGGTAGTAGGTGATGTGAACAACATCTGCCAGAGACTCTGGAGAGCTGTTCCTGGTCTGAATGGACAGTAATAACTTTGATGGACCAGAGGCCTGATTCAGTATCAGGCAGGTTCATGTGTGTTCATCGCTCTGTGAGAATCCTTTTTAAATCGCAGATATGACCCATGTTGCCAATCCAAGCGATTGCCTATAAAGAAATGCAGAGAGTTAGGATACGCCTCTCCCCCTGGTCGCTGGGTTTGTTGATGTCCTGCTGAGTCTGTTTTGGCTGCTGATTCTTCCTTCATCTCCCTTCTGTCCGCAGCGCAGCGATGGGCCGTATGCCATTGTCCTGGTTCCAACGCGAGAAGTAAGTCGCTGCAGATCTGCTGTTCACAGGTTCCTGACAGCATCGGTTGCATGGCTCACAGGCCTCTAGAAAGGGCCTCTAGGAAATGAGTGGAAGCGGAGAGTTGTGAGTTTCTGTGGCCCAGGCCGTGGAGGGTGCAGCCTTGCCCTTTGGAGGCGGAGAGCAGCCCACAAAAGCTCTGGGAGCAAGCCCTTCACTCGGCGTCTCAGAGCGGCTTACAATCTCCTTTCCCTTCCCCTCCCCACAACAGACACCCTGTGAGGTAGGTGGGGCTGGGAGAGCTCCTTCAAGAACTTTTTGTGAGAGAACAGCTCTGAGAGAACTTGTGACTGACCCAAGGTCACACCAGCAGCTGCGAGTGGAGGAGTGGGGAATCAAACCCGGTTCTCCCAGATTAGAGTCTGCGCTCCTAACCCATACACCAAACTGGCTCTCTGCCACTGAGGAGTCCCCCTGAGTCTGTATAAATCCTGTGGGTTGCCCAGTTTTGGCTCGGACCAGTCACAGAAGCAGCGATTGAGTGTATGAGGTAAAGCCGTTGATGACTTAAGGAAGGATTGCTGCCTTTCCCCCCTGCCTGTCTGGACTGGAGTCTGGTCTCGCCAGCCTGGCCTCCAGAGAAAGCCTCTACTTGTTCTCTTTTCCCTGTAACTGAGTAATTTCCACACTTTCAAAAGTAGGGGAAGGGCCTTTCACGTCAGGGGGTCTTGATCTACAAGACAGCCAGTTTGGTGTAGTGGTTAAGAGTGCGGACTGACTCTAGTCTGGGAGAACCAGGTTGGAGTCCCCACTCCGCCCCATGCAGCTGCTGGTGTGACCTTGGGTCAGTCACAAGTTCTCTCAGAGCTGTTCTCTCAGGAGCAGTCCTCGAAAGCGTTCTCCCAGCCCCACCTACCTCATGTTGTGGGGAGGGGGAGGGAAAGGAGATTGTAAGCCGCCCTGAGACTTCTTTGGGTAGTGAAGGGCGGGGTATAAATCCGATGTCCTCCTCCTCCCCCTTGCTTGCCATTGGGGGGAAGCACAAAAGCTCCTTGGGGGAGGAGTTTCTACCCACCCACTCTTCTTTCTGGCTGTTCCATCAGAACGCAATCCTGCATTCCACCCCTCTGGGGGCCCAGTGATCCCAAAGCAGCCGGTGAGCTCAGCGTTCTGTGAACCAGGCCAGAGTCAGGGGCTTTATAGGGCCTGGTGGAACCACATTGGCTCCTTGAGTCACCTGACCTTGGTTGGGGCGGGCCGCCTGCAGTGGAGGGGCTGGAGCACAGAGACGAAGGCCCACCTTCGGCTTGCGGTCTGCCATGGCAAGTCAAGAGAGTGATTAGCACATGGAATTTGCGGCCACAGGAGGTGGCGGCGACTACAAGCATGGGTGTCTTCAAGAGGGAATTGGATAAGCATATGGAGCAGAGGTCCATCTGTGGCTATTAGCCACAAGGTATAGATAGTGGTTAAGACGCTGAACTGCAGGCTGTGGAAGGTCGGTAGTTCAGCAGTTCAAGACCCGAGTTGCGGCATGACGGAGTGAGCTACCGTCTCTAGTTCCAGCTCCTGCCAACCTAGCAGTTCGAAAGCAAGAAATTGCAAGTAGATAAATAGGTACCACTTCAGTGGGAAGGGAACAGTGTTCCGTGCGCCTTGGTGTTTAGTCGTGCCGGCCACATGACCACGGAAACGTCTTCGGACAGCACTGGCTCTTCAGCTTGGAAACGGAGATGAGCACCGCAACCCTAGAGTCGGACTCGACTGGCTTTCAAGCAAGGGAACCTTTACCTTTACCTATAGATAGGAACTCTCAGGCTGGGGCAAGGGATGCTCTGTATTCTTGGTGCTTGGGGGGGGGCAACAGTGGGAGGGCTTCTAGTGTCCTGGCCTCACTGCTGGACCTCCTGATGGCACCTGGTATTTTTGGCCACTGTGTGACAGAGTGTTGGACCGGATGTGCCATTGGCCTGATCCAACATTGGCTTCTCTTATGTTCTTAGAGCGGGGCATTTGGACCCTGGCACCGGAGCGCTTTGTCCGGTATCCTCTGTTCACGGAGGGCAAGCTGGATGCGAGCATAGGCAACCTGAGCTCCATGTCAGGGACAGTATGTTGCTGAAGGAAGCGGTGTTCGCCGTGACCGTGTCTGTTCATTAATTTGACGTGACCTTTCGCTTTCCGCAGCTGGCCCTCCAGAGCTTTCAGACGATCCAGAAATTGCTGAAGGTAAGGATTGGTTCAGATTTTTCTCTCTTGGATTCCGCCCCCCCCCCCGGGTGCCAGCCAACAAGACGTTCAGTGGGGCAGAGGTCTTGCTGGGTGTGGCGGGGCAGCAGTTCAAATCCTTCCTTGACCACGGAGGCCAGTGGGTGGCCTTGTGTCAATCACAGTCTCTCAGCCTAACCGACCCCAGCGGGTCCTTGTGGGGATAAAATGGGGAGGGGGGGGGAGAGAGAGCCTTGTATCCGGTGTTCCCTCTAAGCTGAGCTAGTGTGAGCCAGCTTGCAGTTTTTTTAGCCTCCGGCTCATGCCTTTTCGTCTTCGCTCAGGAAGGATGGGGCTCCAGAGCAAACTGATTTGTGCAGTGGCCAAATCGCTCGCTCACAGCTTTGACGCCAGTAGCTCACAAGGCAGGATTTTTGCCCACGAGACTCCACAGTTTAGAGGGAGCATTGCCTGTGCCCCACCCAGAGCTTCTTGGGGGAAGGATAAAATGGCCGTGGGTTGTCTGTGCCCCTGTACTGAGCGGGTCCTACTGAGGGAGTTCAGCTGTGCCCAGTGAGGTTGTTGGGAGATGGGTTTTTGTTTCTCTAGGGACCTGGGGTGGGGGGCCTGTCTTGGAAGGAAATGTGGCACCCAGCGTTCCCTCTAAGCTGAGTGAGTGTGAGCTAGCTCACAGTTTTTAGCCTCCTGCTCACACATTTCTGTCTTAGCTCAGGAAGGAGGGCTCCAGAGCAAACTCATTTATGCAGTGAACCAAACGGCTCCCTCACGACTTTAGTGCCAGTAGCTCACAAAGTGGAATTTTTGCTCACAAGACTCCACAGTTTAGAGGGAACATTGGCGCCGCCCCCAGGGGAATCGGGGCTGAGCCTCAGAGACTGCGGGTGCTGCAACCCCAGTCCCAGAGGGGTCCGACCCCTGGGGCGAGCAGTGAAAGAACTCCCAATGGTGGAAGTCGCGCAGGGGCCTGGCTCAGGGGTGAGAGAGCCACCAGCTAAGGCAAAGTTCCAGCGCGTTCCTTGACAGATTACAAGTGGGACGTGGGCGTCCTCGGAATGGCAGAGTGGCCTTCTGCTGAGTCAGACCGTCTCGCTCACCTGACTGGAGCTCTCCGAGGTCTCAGGCAGGGGGTAGTCTCTCCCAAGAGCTGGTCCCTGAGGCCCTTGGAGAGGCCGAGGACTGAGCCGGGGCCTCCCGCACAGCACACCGATTCACACTCTGCCTCTCGTTCCCCACCGACTCCCAGAGCACTGTCCTGGGGGTGCTGCGCCCTGGCCTCTTGCCCCTTTGCGGGGCCGGCAGTGCCCGGGGGGTGGTTCACGTGGAGCTGCCTTCTACCGAGTCAGGCCAGTGGTCTGTCAAGAGTCAGGGCTCTCTACTCAGACAGGCAGCAGCGTCTCTCCATGGTCCCAGGTGTTGGTTTTTCACACCACCTGATCCTCTTGCTGAAGAGCCAGTTTGGTGCAGTGGTTAAATGTGCGGACTCTAATCTGGGAGAACCGGGTTTGATTCCCCACTCCTCCACTTGCACCTGCTGATGTGACCTTGGGTCAGTCGCAAGCTCTGGCACAGCTGTCCTTGTAAAAGAGCAGTTTGTGTCAGAGTTCTCTCAGCCCCACCCACCTCACAGGGTGTCTGTTGTGGAGAGGGGAAGGGAAAGGAGTTTGTAAGCCGCTCTGAGACACCTTTGGGTAGTGAAGGGCGGGGTATAAATCCAATCTCTTCTTCTTCTTCTTTTACCTCACAGGGTGTCTGTTGTGGGGAGGGGAAGGGAAAGGAGTTTGTAAGCTGCTCTGAGACACCTTTGGGTAGTGAAGGGCGGGGTATAAATCCAATCTCTTCTTCTCTTCTTCTCTTCACTGGAGAGGCCGGGGATTGAACCTGGGGCCTTTCTGCATGCCCAGCAGGTGCTCTGCCACTGTCCCTCTCGAGACTTTCTGTAGTGTGGGGCAGTGTTCCCTCTAAGCTGAGTGAGTGTGAGCTAGCTCACAGTTTTTTAGCCTCCAGCTCACACATTTTTGTCTCTGCTCAGGAAGGAGGGCTCCAGAGCAAACTAATTGATGCAGCAGCCAAATCGCTCGCTCACGACTTTAATGCCAGTAGCTCACAAAGCAGAATTTTTGCTCACAAGACTCCATAGCTTACAGGGAACATTGGTGTGGGGATTTATTTACTTATTTATTTATTTTATAAGAGTTCTATACCGCCCTCCCCGAATGGGCTCAGATGCTTCCCTCCCCCTGTCCATATCCGCTGTACCTCCTCTCCTGCTTCCCTCGAGATGATGTCACTGCCCACGGAGGGCTTGGCGCTGAAGAAGGAGGAGAGGAGATTGGATTTATACCCCGCCCTTCACTACCCAAAGGTGTCTCAGACCGGCTTACAAACTCCTTTCCCTTCCCCTCCCCACAACAGACACCCATTGAGGTGGGTGAGGCTGAGAGAGCTCTTGACAGAAACTGCTCTTTTTCAAGGACAGCTCTTCTCAGAACTACAGCTTGCCCAAGGTCATCCAGCAGGTGCAAGTGGAGGAGTGGGGAATCAAACCCAGCTCTCCCAGATTAGAGTCCGCGCACTTAACCACGACACCAAATTGACTCCCTGCATTCTGAGAGGCAAAGTGGCATTCCGGCTGGCTAAAACTTTCAGGACACGCTTCAGCTTGCCATGGCCGTCTCCATCCAGGCACTGCCAGTCTGGGCAGGGCTATTTGATTATTTACTTACTTTTACCCCCCCCCCTTTCTCCCCAACGTTCTCTATTTTGTCCTCCCAACAACACTGCAAAGTAGATTAAGCTGCAAGGGCATGACAGGCCCAAGGCTTCCATGGCAGAGTGGGGATTCGAACCTGGTTCTCTCAGACTCTAGTCTGACACTCCGGCCGCTGCACCACACTGAATGTGACTTTTCAGAAGCCTTGGTGGGCAACAGCCCTGCCCACTTCCTGAACACAGTCAGTGGGCTCCAGAAAAGGGGCTTACAGATGCCACGGTGCCCATAGTCACACGCTGGGGACACGGATGCTCTTCGGGACACAGCCTGTACACAATTAAGCTCCCTTCAGATCAGATGAAGGCTGGGATGAGGGATAGTTGCAGCGACTCCGTTCAGACAACCCACCAACTCCAGTGTTCCCTGGTTGTCTGAACAGAGCCTGCATTTTCCTTACTTTCCAGTTTGGTGAGAGACCCAGTTTGGTGCAGTGGTTAGGAGCGCGGACTCTAATCTGGGAGAACCGGATTTGATTCCCCACTCTTCCACATGCAGCTGCTGATGTGACCTTGGTTCAGTCCCAGTTCTCTCAGAGCTGTTCTCTCGAGCAGTCCTCGAAAGAGCTCCCTCCGCCCCAGCTACCTTACAGGGTGATTTGTTGTGAGGAGGGGAAAGGAAAGGAGATTGTAAGCCGCTCTGAGACTTCACAGTGAAGGGCAGGGTATAAATCCAATCTCCTCCTCCTCCTCCACGGTCAAGAAATCCCATCAATGGGCACTTCCTGGCTGAAGAATCCCTTGTAGGGGATTGTGGGACGCATCCTCAGCTGCATGCTGGTCTCTGGCCAGTCCCCTGTACCGAGCTGTGCATGGAGCACATGCCTACTCATCCTTTGCTCTCCTGCAGCGGCGGCGTGCCGGGAAAGCTCCGTACCAGCAGCTTGCTGTCTTTCAGGGAAGTTTGACTGCTGCCATTCATTTGCTCCTTGGGGTGCTCCAGGGTTCCCCAGATTAGAGCACAGCTTATCATTTTAGCTCAGTGTCCCTCCCCCCCCCCAAGTTTCACATTTTCTCCCCTTTCCTTCCCTCCTCCGTTTAGCCCTTTACCTGGATTGTGCCCGGCGTGCTGATGGGAGGAGAAAAGAAGAAATCGGAAAAGGCCAGGTGGGACGCCGTCTTCATAAAACCGCGTTTCCTTTCCTCAAGTTCCGTCTCTCCCCCTCTCTCCTCCAGCCTCTTTCATCTGTCACTGTCTCCCGGAGTGCCTTTTGGAGTGGGGAGGGAGGCTGGTGACTTTGGATCAGGCGGTGAGCACCCCCCGCTGTGGATCTTACGGCAAGCGGGCGGCTTGGGCAGCGGGGAGCGCGCTCACATCTCTCTAGTTTTCAAATGCTGATGAGCTTCCTCAGCAGACGATCCCTGTTGATGTCTGCAAAGCGCCTTCTCTCTCCCGGCCTCCCCATCGGCTTCTCCACCCGGATCTCTCGCAGGCGTTTGTGTTTGTGAGCAGACAGCTGGAGAGCTTGCGGAAGGGAAGTGTGCGGGTCTTCGGGAAAGGGACGGTTTTTAAAAAATCTTTTTTGCTTCTGGGATTTAACGTGGTCTGGACGTGCTGTCGAAGCAGGGTCGGGCGGTTAGGAGGCTGCTTACAACCAGATAGGAAGGCCAGTGGGGCCCTGGCGTGGATAGCCCAGCCAAGCTCGATCGCCTCAGATTTGGGAAGCTGAGCAGGGTCAACTCTGGCAAGTTCTTGGATGGGAGACCTCCTTGGAATATCAGGAGTCGGGAGGCAGGGGCAGGCTTTATTAAGCCACCTCTCTGAGAATCCTCCAGGGCCCCAGTAGGGGTCAGTCACCAGAGGTCGCCATGACTTCCAGGTGCACACACACTCACACACAAATACAAAAACACACACACACAAAAGAAGGCCAGTGTGGTACACCGGTTAGAGCGTTAGAGTAGAATCTAGGATAGGGTTCCCTGCTATGGTACTTCCCTTGGCACTCGCAAAGCTTTTCAGAAAGCGGTTGGGGCCCTTGTAAGGCAGGGCTTCTTCTTGGCTGCCTTCATTCAGGCGAAAGGGTTTTCCACTGGGGGATGAGGAGTACCGCTTAGCTCCTGGGCTTTCCTTCTCCAGTGTGTGGTTCCAGTCCCCCTTCATGCTTTCCTTCTTCCCAGGAGGGGTGACGAGAGAAGTGTTATGTTTGGCTTTGCCTCCTGTGGCTGCCATTCTGAGCACCCTCTCACAATCCCAAAGGTGTCTGCAAGCACCAAAAAGTTGGAGACCCCTGATCAATGTTCCCTCTAAGCCGAGTTAGTGTGAGCTAGCTCACAGTTTTTTAGCCTCCAGCTCAGACATTTTTGTCTCTGCTCAGGAAGGATGGCTCCAGAGCAAACTAATTTATGCAGTAGCCAAATCGCTCACTCACAACTTTGATGCCAGGAGCTCACAAAGTAGAATTTTTGCTCACAGGACTCCACTGCTTAGAGGGAACATTGCCCCTGATCCACAGGGCCTGTTGGACGGAGCTCTTCTGCCAGGCTTTTAGTTGACGTGGTGGGTGTTTCCCGCCCCCCGCCCCCCATTGTGCCTCCCCTTCAGTGGGTCAGATCCTTGTTTACCACCTAGGGACCCCAATCTGAAAAACCTCATCGGCCGGGGCGGGAAATAGCACATAGGCGTTTAGTTGGATTTTTACTGTTGTATTTTAATTGTTCTTAAGCTGTCGTATGTGGTAATTGACGGGACCCGCCCAGAGCCCGCTACATGAGGAGGACGGGATACAAATCTAACAAAATAAAATCTGGGAGACCCCAGGTTCGAATCCCCACTTTGTCATGGGAGCTTGCTGGGTGACCTTGGGGCAGTCACGCTAGGGCTGCCAAGTCTCGTTGAATCGCAGCGGGGGATCATCATTCTTTACAGGAGCTCTGCCGCGGGGGACGGCAACAGGCGTTGCACCGCCGTCGCCAGGATGTGACGCTATGCGTCGCTCTGGCAACGGTCCCGTTGCCAGAGCGACGCGTAGCGTCACATCCTGGCAACGGCGGTGCAACGCCTGTTGCCGTCCCCCGCGGCAGAGCTCCTGTAAAGAATGACGATCCCCCGCCGCGATTCCACGAGACTTGGCAGACCTAAGTCACGCCCACTCAGGCAACGGGACCGTTGCCAGAGCGACGCATAGCGTCACATCCTGGCGACGGCGGTGCAACGCCTGTTGCCGTCCCCCGCGGCAGAGCTCCTGTAAAGAATGACGATCCCCCGCCGCGATTCCACGAGACTTGGCAGACCTAAGTCACGCCCACTCAGGCTAACCTACCTCACAGGGTTCTTGTGAGGACCAGATGGAGGAGAGCAGCATCAGCCCCTCTGGGTCCCCACTGGAGAGAAAGGGAGAGTATAAATGAAGTCTCTAGATAAATAAGTAAAGAAAGAAATATGTAATATTGGACTAGGGCCAGGGAGACCCAAAATTGAAATCCCTGCTTGGTGTGTCGCTTACATTCTCTCTCCATCTAGCCTACCTGATAGGGTTGTGATGAGGATAAAATGGAAGACAGGGGAACTGTGTCCGCTGCATGGAGTCACTTGGAGGAAGGGCAGGGCAGAAATGCACAACATTTAATGTTGGAATCTGGGAACAGAAATGGTTAGGTGGATTGCAAGATGGTGAGGGGTCTGGAGACCAAGTCCTATGAGGAAAGGTTGAAGGAGCTGGGCGTGTTTAGCCTGGAGAGGAGACAACCGAGAAGTGATACGATAACCATCTTCAAGTACTTGAAGGGCTGTCAGGTAGAGTTGTTTTCTGTTGCCCCAGAAGGTCAGACCAGAACCAACGGGTTGAAATTAAATCAGAAGAGTTTTCGGCTAAACATTAGGAAGAACTTCCTGACAGTTAGAGCGGTTCCTCAGTGGAACAGGCTTCCTTGGGAAGTGGTGGGGTCTCCTTCTTGGGAAGTTTTGAAGCAGAGGCTAGATGGCCATCTGACAGCACTGCTGACTATGTGAACTTAGGCAGATCACGAGAGGGAGGGCAGGAATGGTTGCCTCAGTGCTTAGTTCTCGTGGCCCTTTCTTACACACCCTGGGAAATGCCGATCGCCACTTTGGGGTCAGGAAGCAATTTTTCTCCAGGTCAGTTTGGACAAGGATCCTGGAGGGGTGGTTTGGCTTTGTTTGTTTTGCCCTTTTCTGGGCATGGAGCAGGGGTCACTGGGTGGGGGGGGAGCTATTTGTGAATTTCCTGCATTGTGCAGGGGGCGGGACTAGATGGCCCTGGAGGTCCCTTCCAACTCTATAATTCCTAGACCTATAAAGAAGAGAATTACAGCTTTTGAGGAAGTAAGTAGGCGTAGTAATCCAATAATAGTTTCCCAGTATTTTCAGTTTAAAAGTTTTTTTGCAGCTACTCTGTGACAAGGTAGATTATGCACAGAGTTTGGAAAAATTGTCTCAAGTGGTTAAGACGCTGAACTGCAGGCTGTGGAAGGTCGGTAGTTCAGCAGTTCGAGACCCGAGTGTGCCGCATGACGGGGTGAGCTCCCGTCTCTAGTTCCAGCTCCTGCCAACCTAGCAGTTCGAAAGCAAGAAATTGCAAGTAGATAAAAAGGTACCACTTCGGTGGGAAGGTAACAGCGTTCCGTGCACCTTGGTGTTTAGTCATGCCGGCCACATGACCACGGAAATGTCTTCGGACAGCGCTGGCTCTTCGGCTTTGAAACGGAGATGAGCACCGCAACCCTAGAGTCGGACTCGACTGGCTTTCGAGCAAGGGAACCTTTACCTTTACCTTTGGAAAAATTGTGTACTGAAAATGGCAGGTGTGCTCTCTAAGTCATATGCTGCTTTAGTAGAAATGGAATGTAGTGGCTGTAAGTACTGCGTTGAGGAAATGAACAAAAGCACTGGGATATGCAATCAAAGCACATGTCTGGAAATTCATGATGTCCTTATGTTCTGCTTTCTTGATGTTCACGGATAATATAGTTAAAATGATGTACCAGTGGTATTTATCTCCATAGCGATTGGCAAGAACATAACACAACCAGGGTGGAAATCGCTGGTTTTATACAAACAGTTTGGCCAATATTGTCTGTGTGTGATGGTAGTGTTCTTTGCACCCAAAGTTACTGGGCAGTGTTGTTGGAGGTATTATCAAGATGCTTAAAATATCTTGGCCTAATTTGTCGGTAGACTTGTTTGTTTTAAATTATACTGCTCTGCTACCGGGAGGCACGCAGATTATATAGCTTTATATATGATAACCGCTGCTCAGAATCATTTTTGCAAAGGTGTGGAAGCAAAAACAATTACTCCAAGAAAGAGTGAGTGGTTTGGGAAGGCCAAAGATTTGCATAGTCTATCCAAACTAGCAGCCCTTGCCAAGGTTCACAATGTTATTGAATTGATAAAGGTTTGGGATCAGGTGATTATCCAGGTAGATGTTGCATAATTGGCTGGATGCAGTGTTGCAAAAACTAACTTTTGGGAACTAGTCAGCCGCTGCTGTTATTTTTATTAAGAGCATCATGCCTTTTGTCTGGTGTGCCACCGTGCTGTAGATTTACCTTGAGTCTGTTGGGCTCCATCTTGAATCGGTCTCTGTAATGATTTCATGTTTAACTGTGTGTGTGTGGCTTTAAAAGTTTGGTTTGCATGGCTGTGATGATAATCTAGAGTGCTGGAATCAGGCAAGTGATATGATTGGTGGGTGACAGAGAGGGGGAGGGGGTTTGGAATGGATGCTGTGTGGAGGATTTGAATGTCTATCAAGAGGGTCACTTAGATTTGACAGTTGATGAAGATCAGTTAAGTTCTGATTTCTGTGAGAGAAGCAGAAGTTCTGTGTATGAGAGGAGTGAGACCCATCCCTGTGTGGGATGAGTTTAGTTCTGGGGTCTGAAGGAGAGACCTTCTTGTGTGTGTTATGAAAAGTTGAAGTATAAAGAAACAGTAACAGTATATGGCCTGAAGGAAACAGTGTTACAAAGTTACCTAAGGAAAAATCCCTGTCAGTAGGGAGCAGACTGTGTGTTATATCTACTTTACTAGTTACATGGTTCTACCCTCGTATTTATGCTTTCTTTAAATAAATCCTATTTCATTCAGGTATACCAGTTCTGGAAAGAATCCTTCCTCAGACCACATAGTTCCTCGAAAGCTTAACCCTCGATATACCTACCCAGTGATGAATATTATATTATAAAGGTTTGGAAAGCCTTAAATTTCCTGGTGGCAGCCGGATTACCCAGTAGAGAAAAACATAAAGAACACTTTTAAAGTAAAACCAGACCTCCCCAGTTAAGGGGGCGTCACAGTCTCTAATACTGGTCATTGCACCACAGAATTATTACTTTTCTGGAGGGAGATTTATGTACCTCTAAAGGTTATTCTCGGAAATGGTTTGAATCATCGATCGAATTACTGTTGAGAAGATCTGAGAAGACTAATTTATATCAAATACATAGTATGTATTAGTTCTTGCTGTTATTGTGATAATACTTTGCTGCTATACTGAAACTTATTTAGCTATACTGCAATTCTATTTCTTGTTTCTGGGGAATATATTTTGGCATGCTCCTGGTGCTATTTTATGTACAGCATGAGAGATTGGGTGTTCGTCAATTATTCTTAGAATACTGTATTTAATGCATGTTCAGTATTTATTGTATTAGGAAAATGTTGTATTGTACCTTGCACTTTATTTATTTATTTTATTTATTCGGATATTTCTATCCCGCCCTACCCCGCGCGCGCGCGCGCGAGAGAGAGAGAGAGAGAGAGAGAGAGAGAGAGAAATGCAGTAAATCAATAATAGGCAAATTGGGGAAGGCAAATGATCAGGGGTCATTTCCTGCAGGAGCGCACAGGAGCGGAGCTCCGGCAGTAAAGAGCCCAGGGGGCGGGCACATAAAACAAGCCCCACCCCCTGCTCCCAGCAGCCCTCAGTCAGAGCAAGAAGCAGCCAGGTAAGCTGCAGAGACCCCCCCCCCCGGCCCCCCGGTCCAAAACAGTCCAGTGGCACCTTTAAGACCAAGTTTTATTCAGGTACAAGCTCTCCCTCCTCTGTGAGGACAGATCTGTACGTCCCCCCCCCCAATAGCTAGCAATCCAAAACAGTCCAGTGGAGCCTGAGCGGTGGGTGTCGCCTTCTGACACACTTCCGGTGATGTCAGGGGGGGTGGCATATGCTAATGAGTTATGCTAATGAGCTCCTGCACCTCTTTTTCTACGAAATGATCCCTGCAAATGATAATATTTAGCATTTATGTGTGCTTGATCCTGACCTGGCTGGCCCAGACTAGCGTGATCTCATCAGGTCTCAGAAGCTGGTTAGAAGGCCCTGGTTAGTTCTTGGATGGGAGACCACCAAAGAAGTCCAGGGCGGCTATGCAGAGGCAGGCAAGGGCAAACGTACTCTGAACTTCTCTTGCCTTGAAAAACCTACGGGGTCGCCTTAAGTAAGCTGCAACTTGCCGGCACTGTCTGCCACCTTCATGTAATGTTTAAGGATGCTGAGGATTTTAACGTTAAGGCTGTCGTGCAGATAATGACATGTTAGTGATTCCCCAAATTGGCAGATTAAATCTCCATGCTTTCTTACATGAATAAAAAAAATTTAAAAGAAAAACTACCCCTTTGTTTTCCGATGGAGCAGGAATCTATTGTAGCTGGCGCCATCTTCTAAGTGGCAGTGTCTCTTCTAAGAGGGCGCCTGCAGTCCACAGGTTTTGTAAGTACTTACAGTAACACCTTGATTTTTTAAAAAAGTGTTACAGTAACACTTTGATACCAATGGTAGGGGAAGCCTTTTAGTGGATCAAAAAGATTTTAACTGATTAATCTATAATTGATTCATCCAAGCTGTTACATGATTTCACATACTTTATTTTGAGAATCCTGGCAATAATATTAGAAGAGGGTGTCAGTTTTGCGATCCCCCAAATACAAGGTTGAGCTTAGTGCTGTCGCATTTGAACTGGGAACATCCTGATTTTGGGGAGAGGCTCTGCCTCAGTGGTAGATCATCTTCTTGGCGTGTGGAAGGTCCCAGGTTCAATCCCCGGCATCTCCACTTAAAAGGGTTCAGGTGGTGGGCGATGTTCCCTCTAAGCTGTGGAGTCTTGTGAGCAAAAATTCTACTTTGTGAGCTGCTGGCATTAAAGCTGTGAGCGAGCGATTTGGCTACTGCATAGATTAGTTTGCTCTGGAGCCATCCCTCCCTGAGCAAAGACAAAAATGTGTGAGCCAGAGGCTTAAAAATGGTGAGCTAGCTCACACTAACTCAGCTTAGAGGGAACACTGGTGGTGGGTGATGTGAAAGGGACCCTGGAGAGCCGCTGCCCATCTGCGTGGATGAAAGAAGACTGACCTTGATGAGCCAAGGATTCTGTACAGGGAAGCGTCATATGTTCGACTCTCGAATGAAATGGCAGGCTAGTTTACAAGGCAGGCACCCCGCAAACAGGCAAGGATATTTATTTTATATATTTGTTTAAAACATTTAACAGCCTTTCTACCTTGTGGAACTCAAGGCAGCTTACTAGCAAGCAAGTCGTTGCATGACTGCTCAGTCTGCCATTTAGAGACAAGCTGCTCAGGCTGGCGGACCGGGCCAGAGGTGTCAAACATGTGGCCCGGGGGCCGGATCAGGCCCCCGGAGGGCTTCTATCAGGCCCACAGTGAAACTGGCTGTCTTCTGCTTCTTCTTCCAGTCCTGCTGCTGCTGCTGCGTCATCATAGGTTTGCAGCTTACAGATACACACCTGAGCAGCATACTCAAGATTGCAACAGCGCAGACATTTTGATGCAATGATTCAGAGCAAGAGGTGTCAGTTATCAGACACTGTTAAATAAAGAAAATATTGCAAGAGTGCTAGTGTTTAAGCATGTTTTTATTTTAAGTAAAAAGAACCCTCTTGCTCTGAATTATTGCATCAAAATGTCTGTGCTGTTGTGATCTTGAGTATGCTGTTCAGGTGTGTAACTGTAAGCTGCAAACCTACGATGACGCAGCAGCAGCAGGACTGGAAGAAGAAGCAGAAGACAGCCAGTTACACTGTGGGCCTGATAGAAGCCCTCCGGGGGCCTGATCCGGCCCCCGGACCACATGTTTGACGCCCCTGTTTTACTGGTTCTCATTCAGTCAATCAGCTTGTCGGGGTCATGTGGGGATGTGATTCCATGCAGTCAGATTTCAGGATCTTTGGGTGTTGGGGGAGGGGGGCTGGCTGTTAATCCAGTGGAGCCGGACACATGCAGCGTGGTCCCAGTGCAGACGGGGGGTGACCTTCCACGAGTAGCAACTAAGGGCCAGAAGCCGGCCATGTAGCCCCAGGCAGGCAGGTAGGTTCCAAAGTGAGCTGGGGCTTCGCCAGGCAGGTAGAGCAAGGAAAGCAGCAAGAGGAGTCTTGAAACGGAAGGCCAGGCTCAGGAGCTGAGCTTTTGCAGGCTGTTTAAAGGTGGATCAGGGCCAGGGGCCGGCACTTACATGGCAGTCCAGCTGGTACCCATGAGGAACACCATTCAGATGGCATGGGGGAGGGGCTGTGCCCCAGTGGAAGTGCTTCTGCTTGGCATGCAGAAGGTCCCAGGTTCAACCCTCGGCATCTCCATTTTTTATTATCATTATCATTATTTTATTTTGATTTGTTAATTGCCCTATCCCAGCTTACACCAGGCTCTGGGCGATGTACAAGGGGCAAAATGCCATAAAACAAAGATAATTTTTTTAAAATACCCATATACAGTGGATAAAAACTAAAAGCAGAGTTAAAGGATCCAAGGTGGCGACTTACAAATTTTCTGTTCTGATTCTGGACCGCCTAGCCATTTAGTGGGAAGGGGGGGGAGGGAACTTAGAACGAAATATACCGGGGGGAGAGGGGAAGGCTGCCATCCAGTGCAACCAACCGTTGCTGCCCTCAACCAGAAGCATGCAGAAGGCCCCAGGTTCAATCCCCGCATGTCCATTCAAAAGGACGAGGTGGGCGGTGAGGTGAAAGGCCTCCGCCTGAGACCTTGGAGAGCGGCTGCCCGTCTGAGGAGACAGTCCTGGCCTCGCCGGACTGAGAGTCTGATGCATT